CACACAGGAGTGTCCAGGATAGACCCACGGTCACACAGGAGTGTCCAGGACAGACCCACGGTCACACAGGAGTGGTGTGGATGGGCACACGGTCACACAGGAGTGTCCAGGATAGACCCACGGTCACACAGGAGTAGTGTGCACGGACCCACGGTCACACAGGAGTGGTGTGGATGGTCCCACAGTCACACAGGAGTGTGCGGGACGGACCCACGGTCACACAGGAGTGGTGTGGATGGACCCACGGTCACACAGGAGTGGTGTGGATGGACCCACAGTCACATAGGAGTGGTGAGGACGGACCCACGGTCACACAGGAGTGTGCGAGATTGACCCACGGTCACACAGGAGTGTGCGGAATGAGACATCCAACCATCCAACTGGAGGTCGACTCGTTTCCACAGTGGTGAAGGAAAGAAATTCCGTAGGGAATCTCAGCCCTGAGCTGCACTGACGGTAAACATGCTTGATCTAGGCGGGTTACCAAGAGCCCTACGGTAAAAGGTACAACCATTTGTGGTCCAGAGGGAGACACTGGGTGGCACCACTGGCCGTGGGAGGCAGAGGCTCCCCAGAAACAACAGCCACACAAGGAAACCCTGGTGAGCAGGTGAGAGGGTTTGGCTGTGTCTTCACCCAGGTCTCATCTGGAATTGTAGCTCCCAGAATCCCCACGTGCTGTGGGAGGGACCCGGCAGGCGGTGATTGAATCATGGGGTGGTTTCCCTCACACTCTTCCTGTGGTAGTGAACAAATCTCACGAGGTCTGACGGGCTTTTCATAAGAGTTCCCTTTTCGCTTGGCCTTCGTTCTCCTGGGGATGTCTTTATCAGCAGGGTGAAAACAGACTAATCCACCAGGACTTCACCAAAATCCACAACTTCCGCTCATCCAGGACAGTTTCCATTTGTTTTCCAAAGCTATGGACTGGGAAAAACAGTCACAAAACATACTCCTGACAAAAGAACGGTATCCTGGGTGGATATGAAACTCACACTAAAAATAATCTAAAAAAAGCCAATAAAAATTGGCAGATGTGAGTGGCCATTTGAGGAAATGTGGCATCTCAATCTCCAGCGCACATGGAAAGGCCCTGCACGTCGCCAGCCGTCGGGAACCTGCAAGGCCGTGACGTTTTCCCGGAGGGACCGGAGCTGCTGATGTGAAAGAGATGGACTGCCCCGAGTGCCGTGCGTGTGGTGTGCCCGCAACTCCCCCTCTTGCTGGGAAAGAGGCTGCACTTGGAAACTACAGCCCAGAGACTTCGGTCACAGGCACTGGGCCAGGAGAAACGTAAGCGTGTGCCCACACAGACCCGGAGAAGGAAGGCGGGGACATTTCACACGTAACAGCCCAAACTGGAGCCAGCCCAGGTGTCCACCGACAGGGAAACAGATACAGATACTGTGATGTTTTCAGAACATGGAACACACCTCAGGAGACAAGGGGCGTGGCAGCCGTGTGCAGCAGTGAGCACAGATCGCAGCCCATCAGCCTGGGCTGCAGGAGCCTCACACGGAGAGCACGGGCAACAGTGGCTTCATTTCTATGTGGTTCTA